TGAAATTGGCTTTAGCCCCTGCCTTTTGGCATATATGTAAATCAATTTTTCCTCCCCAACTCTCTGGTTTACTTTTGGCCCCACCTGTTTCTGAGAATGAAGGTGAGGGGCAGCCATCAATATAGTCTCTTCCACCTTGCAAATGACCACTTACCCAGCTTAATTAATAGCTTAGCTTTTGACAAATAGTAAAATGCCATGACTAAATCTGTTTTACTATCATGTCTCTTGTGGGAGAAACAACCCCGTAACACTTTGTGTAACTGTCAGCAGTCTGTGTTTAGGATGTGTTCCGTAACCTGGAGCCTCACCTTCACCTCACTTCCTATCACCCTAGCAGCTCATGACAGACCATTTCAGAGAAGATTTATTATTTGTCTTTGTTTCTAGTCAACTGAAAATCAGTTAGATGATTTTAGTGGGTTTTTTTTTTTTTTTACTGTATTTTGTTTTTCCTTCTATTGTTATGACTAATGAAACACTGGAAATTTATGAGGTTTTATTATTCTAAATATTTTAAAAATAATTTATTCCTCTGTATTGTTTGTTACTATGTCACTAACTCTAGTCCATGGGGATTGAGGCAACTACATTTATCTTCACTCTTCAAACTTTTTGTTTTTTCCAGAACAAACTAAATCTACCAGACAGATTGGATGTGACTATTTAATACAAATAAGTTCAGATCGTCCAAGTTGTTTTTATTAACTTACTTATTTGGTGGGCTTGACCATTTAATTCCGCTTTACTTGGTGTAGATAAGGGGAGGGATGTACCTTCTAGAAGTGGGCTGTCTAGTGTTCTGACTCCCTAGCATCTATTTTCCTTCTATTTTTTTCCTAATTACTTTGGAAGTTAGCAATCCCCTGTTCCCTCTAGACACGTTGCTCCCTTCTGTGGAGGTGCCTTTTACTCCCAGCTATCTTACCAGGAAAGTGCTTTCCTGGGGACCTGCCTTCCCAAAGCAGCCCTTTCATGTCTTAGTGCAGATGGTCACAACACAGACTGTAGCATGCTCCTTGCCATTCCTTTCTAACATCCCCTAGGATTGTGCTCCCTCAGTACATCATCCATCATTTCAATTTAGTGGTTGAATGAGTAGTTGATTACCACCTGAGCCACTTTTCTAATTAGGATGCATATATGTTGCCAGGTAGAGAAGAGTCATCCTAAACAAGAAGCAGGTATTTACTTGTCTTCATCCAAATGAAAATATTATTGAATCAGAGATTCATACTGGACTTCCTTTGTTCCCTTTCTGCTCCCTGCCTCTTCCTTTTCTTTTTCTACACTCCAGTGTGTAGAAAAATGTTCATTCTGACGAACTTGCCCAAGTGATCTATCATTTCCTACATGGTCAACAAGAGACCTTGAACCTGGCCATCTCTAGCATGAATTGCCCTTATTTCTTCTAATGCTCCAGCTGCTCCAGTTTCTCCTGGCCCTTCAGTTCCAGTTGCCGTTGTTCCCTCTGGCTCTTCAGTTCCAGCTGCTGGTACTTCCTCAGGTATTGGTGCTCTGGCTATTGCTCACTTCCCAGCCTCCCAAGTCCTATATGTTGGGGGAAATTGACTTCTGCTGCCAGATCTGGATCTGTCATTCCTTTTGATTGTTCTCAGAGATTACCTACACAAGGGGCTTAGTCCTCCAGCTTGGGAGTCTTCTCTTTGGCTTTGGTCTCTTCTGCAAATCTAATTCTGCCGTCTTAGCTTCTTTAATGAGTTTTCTAATTTTTTTGTTCTTAATTCAATTAATTTTGAGCATTTGTGAATTGCTTGGTAGTGTACCAAACACTGATAGTTTTCTCTTTGGCAGTTTTACTAATGCATTCCATGTATTCTAACTGCCTTAACGTCTGGCTATAAAAACAAAGTAATTATTACGACAGCTTTCTATGATCATGGAACAATGGAAGGAGAAAGACTTTAGAGACCATCTAGTCCAGCCTCCTTATTTTATATTTACAGAATCCAGACCAAGAAGGGTAAAATGAGTTGCCTAAGTCACATAGCTTATTGTTGACAAAGCCAAACATTGAATTTTGGTCTCCCTGATTTCGCATCCAGTGTTTTGATTCTTTGTGGTGAGGATTTAACTCTGTGTTTACCGCTATTGTCAGTCATAGCTGCAAACTTTCAAGTGAGGAATAAAGTGCCTAAGTGGTCCTTGCTAATAAACAATAGAATCACAGGGCCACTGGGACTCAATCGGGGTGTTCTTTTAGATTTTTTTTTTATTTAACAAATAATTGGAACACACCTAGTATTTTAAAGAACATGCTCTTCAAAAGATGAAAAGAGTTTCTCCTGGGAGGCGGAGGCTGCAGTGAGCTGAGATTGCGTCACTGCACTCCAGACTGGGCCACAGCACGAGACTCTGTCTCAAAAAAAAAAAAAAAAAAAAAGAGAGAGAGAGAGCGAGAGAAAGAGAAAGAAAAGAGGTTCTCATATTTTAGTTTTATACTGAATTACTTGAGATACTTTTAACAAAAGTACAGAGGCTCAGAGCTCAGGCCTTGCCTATACCTGCAATCAGAATCATGCAAGGTAGGGCCTGGATTTTAAGGCTTTCCAGGTAGTCATGGTATGCTTTAGAGGAAATAACCACTGCTCTGAAGTCTAGCAGTGTTTCTCAAAATGGGGCACCTATTTAAAATTCAGATTTCTGGGCCTCATTCCCAGAACTTCTATCCTAGAATTTATGGGGATGGAGCCCATCTTTAAGCTCCCTTGTGAATGTTATATCCATTAAAATATGAAAAAACACTGGTCTAGAATATTTTAAGTCATTAACCAAAAAAGCCTAGAGTAGTGGCTTTCAAATGTATTTGTTCATGCCCCTTGGTAAGAATTGCATTTTACATAATGATTTGGCAAATCCACATAACTAAAACAAAAGTTTCACAAATCAATATTTATCTTACCCAGTGCAGTGAACTCTGATATTTTCCATTCTAATTCATCCTATTTCAATTTTTAAAGTAGGCAATCAAAACTCACTAAATTCATTTTTAAACTCATAGCTCACTGTAGTTTGAAACACTGAGTATTGAGATGTGCTTGTTAATTCTACCTATCATAGATTTAAAACTTTTCTAATTCTTCTACTTTTTCTAGTTATTTCTGTAAGCCAATAACACCTGCTAGGATTGCTTACCTGTAAGGAAGGTCCACTTTTGTCATAGTGTAAAAGTAGACTGCCCTTGTTCCCTGGACATGGGAGATCTTGCCACCTCCATGATGATGTCACTAATGGCTTATATCAATCACAGTGTAAATAATATAAAATTCTATTTCAACTAAATGAAATTTAAAGCAGGGGGCAGTTCTTTTGCTCATGGAAGCAGCAGTCCAAGGGTAGCTAAGTTCAGGTGCTGTTTGATTCCAGACTCAGACAGTATCACCTGCATCCCCCTCAAGCCTGCCTTTTCTGGGATGGCTCCTGATGTGGCATATTCCACTCTCCCTTCATGAGGGCAGCAGGCCCAAGCCACACACTGCCAAGGTCAACTGAGAAGAGGGACTCTTGCAGACTGAGCACAAATCTTTTTGACCACATGTTATCTCCTGATCCAGTCACTGGGATCCGGACCCATTCCTGGAGCTGGGAGTAAGATCAAATCTCAGGCACACTACATGGCTGAGGATGAGGGCGGACCGATTTCCTAAAAAGAATTCGAAATACCTCTCCCCAACAGATGCAGGAGGAGTAGATACTGGGCAGCAAATGCAGACGTTATCTATTATAGGCCATCTATTTTCATGGTCTTTCTCTTTTCCCTCCTGTTGTCTTGGTTGTGATGAGTCTTTTCTTGCTGCTTTTCCCACCTACAGAAACCAGTATCTTGTCCTGAAGTCCCCAGTTTAAATCTTGTGGGAAGTAGCCACTGTCAAAATGAAGTGCAGGGCCCTCCAGGGAAATGACAGCATAAGTAATTAGAAAGAATTGATTAACATTTACTACAGGAAATAACTGCTTTTTAATGAAGAGAATGGAGTAATAGAGAAGAGTTAACCAAACTACACAGTGATTGCTAGCATTCAAATATGTGGTAGTGGGCAAGCTTGCATAGTCTTCCCTGGAGTCCTTTAAATAGACTATGAGACTGAGTCTTTTCAGGAGGTATCTGAGCAGTCAGTGTCCTAAAAATATCAAATGACCACAAATAGATTAAAAGTTATCAAAGTTTAAGTACAAAACTTAAATCTGGCAAATAAAATTCAGATGATTCCATTGGCTGCCTTTCACAATTACTTTATGTACTATTTAATGTTTCCTCTTCCTCAAGCCTACTATCATGAAGCAAAATAGAAATCCTTTCCACCAGGGGGTTAGAAAGTAGATAATAGCTACTTAGTAAAGATAATGTTGATCCATTAAAATGGGGATTTTTTTTTTCTATAGTCCAGCAGAGAGAAAGAATGGTGCCTTTAAAAGTATTCTAACGATTCCGGGTCTAGCATACTTGGAAAGATTTCAATGTAAATAAGCATTTTATATAAACAGATGGAATCTTTTGTTTCCTCAATAATAGAATCAAGTTCTCTACTTTGTCTTTGTCACAAATTGCTCCCTAGTTTGTTAAGATGCACACTTTATGTATGGTATGATGATCCTGGATTTTGCATTTTGTGCTACCAACTAGCCTGCCTAGCTTTTAGATATTCTCTGGCCTCATGTGTGCTTAGAAAATCTATATTCCAAATATTTTTTGTAGTTTTGTTCTATAAAAATAATATAAAATAAGCACTCTAAGGTTTGTATTATTCTCCTAACTTGGTCTGTAATTTTGCATAAAAGCTTTAAATCCTCTCATAAATTTATTTTTATCTAACAATATGCCCATTCATTTCTAATTTTCTAATTTCTATCTCTTGAAAGCTATAGCATTTTAATTCCTTATAGAAACTAATCAGTCTTTTATCTTTGATGGTGAATTCAGTAAGTTCTTATTTTTTAAATGAAGTTTTTCATGTATATTATTTTATTTTGGTCTATAGTGTGGCTTGATCTAAGAACCCAGTCTACCGTTGAGAGTCTTAGTAAAAGAATTCCAGGAAATAATAACTTTGTCAAGGTAAGAATTTCTTCAAACGTATACTATAAGAATATTTCTGGCCGGGCGCGGTGGCTCAAGCCTGTAATCCCAGCACTTTGGGAGGCCGAGACGGGCGGATCACGAGGTCAGGAGATCGAGACCATCCTGGCTAACACGCTGAAACCCCGTCTCTACTAAAAAATACAAAAAACTAGCTGGGCGTGGTGGCGGGCGCCTGTAGTCCCAGCTACTCGGGAGGCTGAGGCAGGAGAATGGCGTGAACCCGGGAGGCGGAGCTTGCAGTGAGCTGAGATCCGGCCACTGCACTCCAGCCTGGGCGACAGAGCCAGACTCTGTCTCAAAAAAAAAAAAAAAAAAAGAATATTTCTTTTTTTAAAAAAAGGTTGCAGATTTCACTAGAAAGAAGCATCTTATGGTACAATAGTTATTTGATACAATTTATAGAATCTTTTTCCCGGATAATTGAGGCCAACTCAAGTCTTTACCTTCCTGTCTTTCTTGCTCTGTGGTGGATTGGAACAATAATACCACAAAATTGACAGGCTGGAGGAGATTATAATGTGTCCCAGTGGCTTAAGTCATAACTTCCCTAGGGGTGCTTTCTTTTTCTTTTCTTTTTTTTTTTTTTGAGACAGAGTTTCACTCTTGTTGCCCAGGCTGGAGTGTAATGGCACAATCTCGGCTCACCGCAACCTCCACCTCCTGGGTTCAAGCAATTCTCCTGCCTCAGCCTCCCGAGTAGCTGGGACTACAGGCGCATGCCACCACGCCCAGCTAATTTTTTGTATTTTTAGTAGAGATGTGGTTTCACTGTGTTAGCCAGGATGGTCTCAATCTCCTGACCTCCTGATCTGCCCGCCTCGGCCTCCCAAAGTGCTGGGGGCGGGGTGCTTTCTATAATTGAACTATGCTTTCCAAATCTATCCCTGTTATTTTCTACTGCCCATCAAAGAATGTTCTGGCTGTTTTTGAGGTTTTAAGCATCTGGATTCAGGGAGAGAGAGAAAGTAGAAAACGCTCTAGCTCTTTATTGAACCCCTCTTCCACTTTCTTCATATGAAGAAGGCTAATAAAACTGCCTACTTTTCAGTCCTTATATAGATCCCTCTTCACATAAAGGAAGGGAGAGTGAATTTTTAAAATAGGCAAGGAATTTTTTTTAGCAAGGTCAAGGCCAAGTTCTTCTAGCATCTAAAAGGAAGTTCTCTTTTTCTGTTTTTGTTTTTTGTGTTTTTGTTGTTGTTGTTTATCCCCTTTTTATTTGTCAGTTGGATGCTTGTGTCATTTTCTTCTAAAACTGCTGTTGAAATCCCATTAATTGCAGTAATCTGACCATTCCGTCCCCCCACAATAACTTCAGACTTGTCGTGAATAAACCATTTTCTATTCCGTTCCCTTCATCACCCTGCCCAACCCTCATCCTCACCTCCAGCTGCACTCTGCTTCAAGGGATGCATGTTTTTCTCTCCAATGTCATTTTAGGCAACTTTTACACTTTCTACCCCCATCATGAAAATAAGATATTATGTATTACCTTGCTATTGACTTTGTGAGATCTTCCCAGGTCGTCTTTTGGGATGACCCTTGGTCCTTCAAATTAAATAATATTTCCATAAATTATCTCCTTCCTTTTTTTTTTTTTTTTGAGATAGAGTCTCACTCTGTCATCCAGGCTGGAGTGTAGTGGCACAATCTCTGCTCACTGCAACCTCCACCTCCCGGGTTCAAATGATTCTCCTGCCTCAGCCTCCACCGTAGCTGAGATTACAGGCATGCACCACCAAGCCTGGCTAATTTTTCTTCTATTTTTTAGTGGAGACGGGGTTTCACCGTCTTGGCCAGGCTGGCCTCGAACTCCTGACCTCAGGTGATCCGCCCGCCTCAGCCTCCCAAAGTACTGGGATTACAGACGTGAGCCACTGTGCCTGGTCTCTTTTCATTATTTTTGTACATTGATTATTATTATTATTTTTTAAGAAAGCTAGAAAACCTTGAGTTAAGATTTTTAATTTACAGGTTGCATTAGAGTATTAAATATTTTGGTTTGAGTTTTCTTACAAAACCATACTTGTATGAGATAGGAGGGAAAAAGTTATCACTCTCTGTAGTTAGGTGATAAATGAGAATAGGGATGGGGAGGGGAACATAGTTGCATTATTTTTGTGTATGTATTTTCTTAACTAGTTAACTTTAATCAGCCTTTATATATGCATTTAGTGTTTAATATACTAACCACAAATGAGTTGGGTTTGACCCATTCTCAAGGAAGATTGGTAAGCACATGTGTGTTTCATTTTTACCCATTAACCTTTCTTCAGTTCATGTTCCCTCTGTTTAATATATTTGCTAAATTTAGGGAACTGCTGTTTTATATAGAGTAATTCTGTGTTGTTTTATTTATTTTTTATTTATTTTTTTTGAGACAGAATCTCGCTCTGTCATCCAGGCTCGAGTGCAGTGGCGTGATCTTGGCTCACTGCAATCTCTGCCTCCCAGTTTCAATCGATTCTCTTGTCTCACCTTCCCAAGTAGCTGAGATTACAGGTGTGCACTACCATGCCCAGCTAAATTTTTATATTTTTAGTAGAGACGGGGTTTCACCATGTTGGCCAGGTTGGTTTTGAACTCCTGACCTCAAGTGATCCACCCGCCTCAGCCTCCCAAAGTGTTGGGATTACAGGCATGAGCCACCATACCTGGCCCTGTGTTGCTTTGATTTGGCATGTCTTTGAGTTCTACTTTAGTGTCTACTAATTTCATGTTATGTTATTTGAACATGTGTGTGTATATATGTAAAATATGTTATTAAGTCTTATTGTTTTAAAAGTTTTCTGGTTATGATCATTAGTTTATGATTTGGTATACTCTCTGATTTTTAATAGTTTAAATACCATTTTTATGGAATATAAAATAAACAGCATAGTTTTGAACTAGGTTATATATACAATACTAATTTATTGCAAAAATCAACATCTGCATTGTCACTATCTAATTACAGGATGTTGTGTCATTTAATTTTTTCTTTACCTTGCTATGTGGATGCCCTTTGAACTGTAAACATGTCACCCTAATCTTTGTTCATGAACATGCTTTCCTGTGCCATGAGACAGGAAAAGTATTTTTATTCATGATACTATGGGATTGCCTTCAGGGTCTTTGAATATTTTGCGATTTGTTGAGTTCTTTGGTTTGGTGGTTTTGTTTTAAACTGTTACACATTTCATTTGCTAACTGAACTTCACAACTGTTTTAGTCCAAGACCGGCCTTCCACTTAGCACTTACTTCAGTGCAGTGAAACTTCGTTGGCTCCTTGACAATGTGAGAAAAGTTCAAAAGGCCGTTGAAGAAAAACGAGCTCTTTTTGGGACTATTGATTCATGGCTTATTTGGGTATGTTTAAATATAATGGATATATGGAGAATTTTTTCAGAAATTTTTCTAGACTGCCTTGCCTATTGTTTTCTACTAGCAGGTCAGACTTTTTAATTAGCAGCATTATGAAGAAAAACCACTCAAGAAGCAGCAGGAGAACATTTCAGCTTCCATTCGAGAAGGATTTTTGCCTACTTCCTCTTTATTTTTTCTTGTTTTATTTCGGTGAAAACGAAGGATAATTACCAAAACTGTATCTCATGTCTATTATCTTTAGGATGAGTAATTTAGGTACCCTTTCTGTATTGTTTGTTATATACTCCTTTCCCACTAGCCATGTCTTAGACAAAATAACTCTTTAGCAGGATAAAATACTTAGAGTACTTTTATGTTTTGCTTTCAACATTACACAACTGTCCCTTGTATAATCAAGCCATAATATGAAACTAAATCATAGTGGACATTTCTATTTAGAATCTCTTTGCCTAAGCTGAACACGCAGCAATCATCAACCTATGGCCAATCTTGTTTCTACTATACTCACATATTCTTTCTCCCCACAGATAATTTTAAAACAAATGCCAGACATTTCATTTTATTTGTAAATATTTCAGTATGTAATGATCTTTTTCAACATTCAAGGAACGTCAAGGAAATATTGTCCCCACTCTCACTTGCCAGATCCACAGAGCAGGTCTTTCAGAACCTGTATCAGAAAGAGGCACATTCTTCACCTCTCCATGTGCTTGGCCAGGGCAGAATGTGCTTTGTGTTCATGGCCAGCCATTTTCACGTGTGTCAGTCACAGTCGAATGAGTACCTTTGACAACTGCATCGACCAGAGTAAGGCAAGATGTGGAAACTGTGAGCTGCAGGAGACTCAAGGGAGCACATTTTGGCTATAACCCACTGGATGCTGTTTATCGACCTTTGTTCCTTTCCTACCTTTTATTGCTTCCATGTAAAGGAAGGCAGCAGTGCCTCCAGTTCAGGCATGTGGGTATACCTGAGAAAGAAAGTTTAAAACTCTCCTTTTAAGATATATGCTTAGGTGAGTGTAGACAGCATAATGCGAATTGTTTAAACAACAGCAAAAACAACAACAAAAAAACAGAGATAACAACAACACAGAATTCTCTAATAATCCTTATGAGGCAAATATTTCAATTTATTTCATCTTGCCAAATTTAATAAGACTCTGAGTTTTCTAAACATAATAGTATGAAAACAAAACTGATTTTTTATTTATCCATCAAGTAACTGGAATTGTGGTAATAAGCTGGCCACTAGCCACATTTGACTATTGAGCACTTGAAACATGATCAAATTGAGGTTTGCTGTAAGCATGGAATATACACCAGATTTCAGAGACTTAGTACAGAAAAAAGAAGGTAAAATGTCTCAATATTTTCACTGATTATATGTTGAAATGATATTTTGGATATATTGGGTTAAATAAAATACACAGTATTAAGATTAATTCTACCTGTTTCTTGTATACTTTCAACATAGCTACTAGAAAATCTAAAATTACATATGTGGCTCACATTTTATTTCTATTGGACACTGCTGTAAACTAGAAAACTAGATAAATGTCATGTTCCATTGTTTTGCTTTATATGCTCTGCTGATTATGACCCTTAACAATATGTAAATTAAATTGCAAATAAGTACAAATTTAACCTGTCTTTTTTATTCTGTCTAGAGTTTGACAGGAGGAGTCAATGGAGGTGTCCACTGTACAGATGTAACAAATGCAAGTAGGACTATGCTTTTCAACATTCATTCTTTGGAATGGGATAAACAGCTCTGCGAGTGAGTTCTGCTTTGTTCTAAATATAGTTTTCCCAATACACTACCTACTTATAACCGAAATCTTACTATTTTCAGATGTCAGTGGAGCACCAAAATTTAACTGTTGATATTTCAACTACAATATGCAAATCTATGTTGTGTGTTTTTTAAAGAGAGACTATTATTGCATATATAATAAACAGGCCAAATTAATTATTCTTCATGGAAGATTAGGTTCCTTTATAAAAGTACTTTGGTTTCTGTGTGCTTTCTAATTTTTATTGATTGACTTGCATAAAGTTGGAATGTTAAATATCTAAGAATACAACTATGTTCTGTTGGCTTATGTATTTATTACTATCTAACTCCATGCTCAAAATCATCCATTTCTAATTGTTATTTACACTTTTTGCATTTAAATACATATATATGTTTCTATATGTCTATTTAAAGCAGTGTTAAATACCCAATCTTATTGTTTTTCAGATTTTTTGGAATTCCAATGGAAATTCTTCCAAATGTCCGGAGTTCTTCTGAGATCTATGGCCTAATGGTAAAAAAACAAAAAACAAAAAACAAAAATAACAAAACAACAACAACAACAAAAAAGTAAAAACCTAATAATTAAAGTTTTTTTTATTAGAAAACACCTTTACTATTCGAAATCTAAAGGTCAACTGTGTTATATTTTGTAACTTAAAAACTTTAAAGCCCTTCTTATCAATGGATTTGCACTTATAAACTTTAATTGGTTTTTCTTTGAGTATTATTATTTTAAAAGAATTAATGCGATATTCTAACTTTAGATGTTGGCATGAGCCAATTTATTCTTTGAATCCAAATAACTGTTTAGTAGTTGTGGTGTCTGCTTTTAATTTAGCGGAGAGACTCTGCATATTTAGTAGTGTTCTTTTTCCCGTTGTATCTTTTTTTATGGCCAAACTATGTTATATATTAGATTCTTTATCTGCCTGAGCAAAATTTAGCAAAGAAACTGAAAGCAAAGAGTCTGTTTCTGATTTGGGATTGCTAATTAAACTAGTTTCTGTAATGGACATTTTTACTTTTGTTTTAATTGAAATCCAGTAAAGACATAGCTTCAGCAAAAAGTGTGCATTAAGAGTCTGTGGTTAAACATCAGGAATGAAAACCTCTAGGAGGATTTGCACTGGTGTTTGAGCACAAAAATCTGGAATTTATGATAATACTCAAGAGTAAGTCCGATAAATTACAAAAAGTATTGCTTAGACATTTCATGAAAGATAAGAGAAACTTCACTTACAAAGTTAATATAGATGAACACTAAGTGCTCTGGATAAAGCTTGAGCAAGAATATTTAACTGTTTCATTTACAATAAAGCTTTTTAAGGCAACATAGAATTTCTTAAGGAGCCATAGTCATTGCTTATCTACAGTAAAAGTGCTTTGATCATTTCATAGCTGTCTGCAAACTGACTTGGGTCAAGGAAAAAGAAACGATGCTTGAGAAATAGTTTCAGAGGATGGTTAGAAAAAAAACGTTGAACTGGCCTAGTTTTCTCTTGCATTTAAAATATTATGCTTCTATCCTTCTTTTTCCCCCTTGCTGACTGTAGAAAATCTCTCATAGCCTGGTGAGTAGGTTGCCCGCCAATTATGTACCCATTCATTTGGAAAAGATACAGTGCACTTCCATTTATTTTTACACAAGCAGAAGTCTATTTACTAAACATATATATCTAGAACTTCCGTGACCTTCAAAATTATTATAAGCTCTAGTCACATTTTAATTTTAAAAAACCTTAATCCTGTTTGTTTTTAAAGAGTAATGTTCTAAAATAAAAGACTAAGGTAGTTTCCTGGAATGAGAGATTCTGATATTCTCATAAAGTACAACTGTGATGTACTTTGGGCTTTACCATAATAGGGCAATTAGATAGATATAGTTTGAAACGTCTATTTTAAATGGCATATTGACCACCTTTCCAGACCAGTTAGTTGGAAATGCACTGTTACTTTTTCTGCATGCTTCGTCAAGGATGCTCCAGGAAGAGCATCAGAGGTCCCTCCCTATGAAGAAAAAAGAGCACTTTACATGCCTGAACACACATAGTAGATCCTGTTGATAGTTTGTTAATTTTGAAAGTATAAGCAAAGACTTCTTATAATATTTAAATATATCAGGATATATAGCCTCTAGGTTTCCTATAGATTCACTTTAAGCCTTTTATGAAATTTACCCTTTACTTAATATCCAGGTTCAGATTTTCAAAGAATATATACAGTAAATAAAAATAGCAGGTTTTGAATTAACTGGAAAACATGAAAGAAATAAAATAATACCAGCTATCTAGAGGACGTTTTCTGTTTTGTAAAGGGTTTCTACGTATATCCTATTATTTCTTCCTTATCGTAGCTATGTGAGGTGGATTCTATTCTTGCCCTCACTTTAATAGACAGGATATCTAAAGCTCCCAGAGCCTGGGAGATTTGCTTATACATGGCAGACCAAGGAGTCAGGTCCAAAGCTTTAGTTTGGTGCTCATCCTGGTACATCACTCCCTACTTCAGGGATTATATATATATATATATAATTTTTTTTTTTTTTTTTTTTGAGACAGAGGCTCACTCTATCACCCAGACTGGAGTGCAATGGCACAATCTTGGCTCACTGCAACCTCTGCCTCCTGGGTTCAAGTGATTCTTCCACCTCAGCCTCTTGAGTAGCTGGGATTACAGGCTCCTGCCATTATGCATGGCTAATTTTGGTATTTTTGTGGAGATGGGGTTTTACCATGTTGGCCAGGCTGGTCTTGAACTCCTGACCTGAGGTGATCCTCCCACCTCGGCCTCCCAAAGTGCTGGGATTACAGGCATGAGGCACAGTGCCCGGCCAGGGATTCTATTTCTTAGTTCTCCTAATTCCTTAATATCATTAAATATTGCCTTAAGTTAGTATGTCTTTTTTTTAAAATTAAGGTTGTAAAGTCTACAGTCAGCCACTTAAATCTCATTTTTCTTCCTAGAATGCTGGCCATCATGATCAAAATAAAAACCAGTATTTGTGACATAAATTAACTGTTGCTTATCTAAATTTGAAGAAAGATGTTTGCTATGAACAAATAATATCCAATACCTGAACACTCTTGTGTTTAGAGCAGCTTGAGTAGAAAGAAAAGTTGCTAAAATATGGCCTTGCAAAATAAATATGTTTCATACTGGTTTGATAGCTATTGCAAGAATATATTAGTCATTTCATTTCTTAATAATGGCAATAATAGCAAAGCACTAATGAACTTGAGCAACCACATAGCCCAATCTCCATTTTGTAGAGAAATAATGTGATGTATTGAGAGGTTTCAGCAGCCTGCTAGTGGATTAATACTAACTAACTAACCAAGAGTAGAGCCCTCATTTACTGGCTCCCCGTCTAACGTTTTACGTTTATTCTCCAGTGCCACATCTCTTCCTGTCATTCTAGGAATACTTGTAGTATCTGTCTCTGTATCATTCATTTAGTTGAAATACTTTCTTTGTCTTGTCTGCCCACATCCTCTGGCACATCGCTACTTGTGTTCACTCTTGTTGCAGTTATGTTAGTAGAGCCAAAATTTTGTGACTATTCATAATCCTTTTTTTAAATTTTATTAGAAAGCTGGGGCCTTGGAAGGTGTGCCAATATCTGGGGTAAGTTTCATCACCAAGTATCCTCCCATCCCCACCCTTTTCCATGTCAAGGCTTTCCTCCTCTTAGTTCATCAGTCTGCCCCTTTTTAACCTAGGGAAAACAAGTGAAAGTCACAAAATTGGCTAATTCTTGTTCTTATGTGATGTACTGTAGGCCATTGAGAATCTTTTGAATACATTAATTTTAACTCTCCCTTCCCATACCTATTCTCTTATATATTAACAAATGGTATTACCAAATGGGGAAAATGGCCAAATGGAGAAAATTCAAAGTAATGTAGACAGTTCATTCTTTGATAAATAAAAAATGAAAAATAAATCCTATGGCTCTTCTAAAAAGGAAATTAATACTATTGTATTAGTCAGTGTTCTTTATTGTCATTTGTACTTTCAGTGTTTAGGGGACCAGTCTGCTGCATTGGTGGGACAAATGTGCTTCCAGATTGGACAAGCCAAAAATACGTGAGTTTAAGAAACAGACTTAAAAACCAGTACTGTTTTGTTTTTTCTACTTGGTGCTTTGAATAAGGAATATGGATCTTATAAAGACCTTAATTTGTAGGCCGGGCACTGTGGCTCACGCCTGTAATCCCAGCACTTTGGGTAGCCAAGGCAGGTGGATCACCTGATGTCGGGAGTTCAAGACCAGCCTGACCAACATGGAGAAACCCCGTCTCTACTAAAAGTACAAAATTAGCCGGGCGTGGTGGCACATGCCTGTAATCCCAGCTACTCAGGAGGCTGAGGCAGGAGAATCGCTTGAACTTGGGAGGTGGAGGTTGCAGTGAGCCGAGATCGCGCTATCGTACTTCAGCCTGGGCAACAAGAGCGAAACTCCGTCTCAAGAAAATAAAAATAAAAATAAATAAATAAATAAATGAATAATATTACCTTCAAATAAGTATAGTGATTGGTGGAACAGAAAGAAAGTGCCAGCTTCAGACTCAGAAGGCGTGGCCCAAAGTGCTGGGATTACAGGTATGAGCCACCGCTCCCAGCCAACGTAATCTTTTAAATATTAAAAAAGCTACCTGCCAAGTATATGTATTCATGAACAAAAATGAATATGCCTCAAAAGCTGAAATGATAGTGACAATTATAACACAAGCTCAGCCAATGGCTATTGTGTTACCTATAATGTTTCATGTGTTTTAAACACATGATATCATTTAATCCACATATAGATCCTATTCTTCCCATTTTATACATCAGGAAACTGAGAATTAAAGAAAATGATTTATGCAACAGCACACAACTAGTAAGTGGGAGATGTAATATTTGCACTCAGATCCATCTCATTCCTTAGCCAGGGTTCTTAACCTGTGTACTATACTACCTCCTGTATGGAAAAGATTTCTATACGACTGGCAAGAGGCTACATTTAATTGTTCTCTTCTTGAGGATTTCCTAATTATCTCATCGATTTTAACTTCAGTGGTTAAGTTCTTCCTTTGTGAATAATGGAATGTGTAACATTTCTAGATTAAACGTTCTTGTAATCTAGCAGGGTCAGCGGTTCTTATGCAAGAGTGTGACATTATTTGTGTGAGAATTTTTTTGTTGTTGTTGAGACGGAGTCTCGCTCTGTCGCCCAGGCTGGAGTGTAGTGGCGGATCTCGGCTCACTGCAAGCTCCGCCTCCCGGGTTTACGCCATTCTCCTGCCTCAGCCTCCCGAGTAGCTGGGACTACAGGCGCCCACCACCACGCCTGGCTAGTTTTTTGTATTTTTTTTAGTAGAGACGGGGTTTCACTGTGTTAGCCAGGATGGTCTCGATCTCCTGACCTCGTGATCCGCCCGTCTCGGCCTCCCAAAGTGCTGGGATTACAGGCTTGAGCCACCGCGCCCGGCCTGTGTGAGAAGTTTTTGAGGAGGAGGGATGTGGGAATTCTTTGCAGGTCATGGTAATCTGAGATTACATGACCAAGAGCATTTGAGTCAGCCTGAGTCTGGAAACATTCTTGGAATCTGGGTTCCAGGCAGCTGAATCAAGAGTCAAGAGAAATAAGGTAGAAAACTAGGTTATTTTTCTCTTTCTTTCCTCCTCTGCCAGGAACACTATTGCTAGTAAATCAAATGTTATCTATATTTTAGGTGCCTAGCATGGTACAATCAGCCCTCTGTATCTGCAGGTTCCATATCTGTGGATTAAAAATATTCAGGAAAAAAACCCATAAAAAATAACAATGCAACAGAGAAATACAAATTTTAAAATACAGTATAACAACTATTTACACAGCATTTACATTGTGTTAGGTATTATAAATAATCTAGAAATGATTTAAAACATACAGGAGAAGGATGTATGTAGGTTACATGCAAATATGACACAATTTTATCCACAGTACTTGAACATCCTTGGATTTTAGTATCTGTTGGGGCGGTAGGGGCCCCTGGAACCAATCAATGCCCTCCGCCCCAGATACCAAGGGATGACTGTATGTAGCATATGGTAGGTACCCAATACAGTAGCCTGCTTTTCCTCTTCTCTTTACTCCCCTCCCCGCTAGCATTATCAGCCAAGTCCTTAAGTGATGAATTTAAGTTAGGGAGGACTTGTTTGAGTACCTCTGTAGCTACTACAGATTGGAAGAGGGAAATAACAAATTATAAGATCTTTGATCTCATATTTATCTCCCTGAGGGAAAAGAACACAAATATGCAGTTAATCATGTATAAATCAGAACTTATGTGCCATGAGAAACTTTGAAGCAAAGCTGTTGGGTTTCAATGGGAGGAAACAAAAATTACAAAAGATTATCTTAGTAATGAGATGCTTTGAAAAATGAGCAGTATTGGAGGGTACAGGGAACATGGAACAAAGATACGTATGGGGAAATAGAAGACTTTGTTTAGAGAATATAGAGAACATTAGAGTAGGGAAGTGACAAAAAATATAAAGCTAGGATCATGTTGTGAAGCCCGATATTTCAGGCTAAGGAGCTTTTCTTGGTAGGCAGTAGGAAACTTTTGAAGGCTTATGAGCCGGTGTTCAGAGATGACTGGAGTTGTCAGTAGCAGTCTTGGGTGAAAGTGAGGAAAGACTAGAGGCCAAGACGCCATGGAGGAAGCCACTATAGTGTCCTGGTAATGAGCACATGGGCTCAGAAGGATGGAGACAGAGGGAGGCCATGAGTGAATGTGCATGGCACTGTAGAGGAGAAAGGGAGGGGAAGTAGGTATGTCATCTAGGTACGTGGACCCTGTGGTTAGGCTTAGGCAAAGTGGAAAGGGTCCGAGTAGAAGAATTTCAGTTCAGAGCATGTTTGTGGTGCTGGCACACTGTATGTTGCACACATTTGGAAATGTGGAATAAGTTCTGTATAGAAATAGAAATTTTTGGCTAGGCGCAGTGGCTCATACCTGTAATTCCAGCACTTTGGGAGGCCAAGGCAGGTGGATCACTTGAGGTGAGGAGTTTGAGACCAGACTGGCCATCATGGCAGAACCCCGTCTCTACTAAAAATACTTGTAATCCCAGCTACTCAGAAGGCTGAGGCATGAGAATTGCTTGAACCTGGGAGGCAGAGGCTGCAGTGAGCTGAGATTGCATCACTGCATTCCAACCTGGGTGACAAAGTGAGACTGCCTCAAAAAAAAAAAAAAAAAAAAGATGGAAAATTTGGAATTTCCCTAGATAGAGGGGATTTTGAAGCAGTAGAAGTAGAAGAAATTACCAAGAAAAAATACACAAGTAGAGAAGATATTTACATAAGTAGAAGTAGCAGGCACTGGGATAGAGAAGTCAGAAAAACATTGCAGTTATTCATTTTTTGTTATATATATCTATATCTATAGATAGATATAGATATATCTATCTATCTATAGATATATATAGATATCTATATATAGATTACAAATATATATATATATATAAGATAGGATCTTGCTCTGTCACCTAGGCTGGAGTGCAGTAGTGAGATCTCAGCGTACTGCAGGCTTGACCTCCTGGGCTCAAGTAATCCTCTCCCCCTCAGCCTCCTGAGTAGCTGGTACTACAGGTGCATGCCACCATATTTAGCTAATTTTTAAATTTTTTGTAGAGATGAGGTCTTACTATATTGCCTAGGTTGTGTCAACTTCCTGGGCTCAAGCAATCCTCCTGCCTCAGCCTTCCAAACTACTGGGATTATAGGCATGAGCCACTGCACCTAGCCTGAAGTTATTCATTAGTGTGGAAATCCAGGGTGGAGATATTTATGAGGGAGGCATGGTCAGTAGCACAAAACATTATTAAGAGGTCATAGAGGCTGAGTACCAAGAATGGACCATTATACATAGAAATTAGGTCTTCATTTGGTGACTTTTTTTTTTTTTTTTTTTGAGATGGAGTCTCTCTCTGTCACCAGGCTGGAGTGCAGTGGCGTGATCTTGGCTCACTGCAACTTCAGCCTCCCAGCTTCAAGTGATTCTCCTGCCTCAGCCTCCCAAGTAGCTAGGACTACAGGTGCGTGCCACTACACCCAGCTAATTTTTGTATTTTTAATAGAGACAGGGTTTCGCCATGTTGGCCAGGATGGTCTTGATCTCTTGACCTTGTGATCTGCCCACCTTGGCCTCCCAAAGTGCTGGGATTACAGGTGTGAGCCACCACGCCTGGCCATTTGGTGACTTTCAAGAGTGAAGTTTTACTAGAATGCTCAAGATAGAAGCCTGATTGCAAATGGTCAAAAGAGATGTAAGCAGGTAGGAAATTGAAGATATGTGCTTTGCAAAAATACAACCATCTAGGAATGGTGAGAGAAGGACATGGTTTGTGAGGTTAACAGGATTATGTAACATTTTGGGAATTTTGTTTGATTTTCTTTGTAAGTTATGGTAAGATCAGAGAATGTTTCTTTGGAGTCTGAGCAGAGAACAGATGAAAGTTGTAAAATAAATGGGGTATAAGTGATGGGCAAGACCAAATAAGAGGTTAGAGAGACTGGGATTGAAAATTTAGTTAATTTCTCCCAACCTCAGCGGAGAGAAAATGACAGTCCACTCAGAATTCAATGAAAAGCCCATCTCTGTTTCAGAGTGGGGGAAGAAATTATGGGTGATTCTAATTTTTCTTTCAGCTTAGCTGTATTTTCCAATTTTTCTAGAATGTTAAAAAGAATTGATTATTTGAACATTAAATTTTATTTTTCTGAAAGAGCACCTAAGATAGCTGTCTCATTTGTCCAGGAGTGCTGATTGAGTGTGACAAAGTTTTTACCTCCCTCATAGCTTCCTCCAGGGTCAACCCCCTGCCCCTGTGTGCCATCTTTGTCACACCTCTTTGGGCTGCTCAGTCCTGATCTGATAGTCATGAAGGAGAGCAAGCAACCTTTACCTTTGCAGAAGCTGGAAAAGTGAGACATCTTTCTGGGATGTTTGAACAAAGTACAGTGTTCTGTGAGTACAATGTACAGTGAGGAAAGCGAGGTAGATCACGTAAATGCTGAAAGCTCCCTATGTGCTTGATGACTGGGAAGAAAGAACAATAAAATTTAAGAGGAAAATACTTGCATGTGTACTGCTTTAAAAGCTGTGGCCTAAATATAGCAAGGAAGTCTCTTCATATTTGCTAATACTCATTAATTGCTTATTAAGTATACTCACTTAAGAATTCACTTTTATGGCCGGGCGCGGTGGCTCAAGCCTGTAATCCCAGCACTTTGGGAAGCCGAGACGGGTGGATCACGAGGTCAGGAGATCGAGACCATCCTGGCTAACACGGTGAAACCCCGTCTCTACTAAAAAATACAAAAAACTAGCCGGGCGACATGGCGGGCGCTTGTAGTCCCAGCTACTCGGGAGGCTGAGGCAGGAGAATGGCGTAAACCTGGGAGGTGGGGCTTGCAGTGAGCTGAGATCCGGCCACTGCACTCCAGCCTGGGTGACAGAGCAAGACTCCGTCTCAAAAAAAAAAAAAAAAAAAAAAAAAAGAATTCACTTTTATTAAGTGCCTTGAGTCTTCTCATCAATTTTGCACTAAGACACATATGCAACTGTTCAGTATAGTGTTTATATGAATGCTAAATTGGTACAGAGTTCTCCTTTAAAAAGCATGAAATAGATAATTAACCTCCATTTTTATGAGTATTTATCACAGTAGATTAACTTGAAATATATAGCTTTTTCAGTGTGTGGCAATAAAATGGTATAGTGATTTTGTGTTTTAGTTTGTAAATGTGTTACCTGTACCTAGTGTTATTTGACAAGTGTCTTTACAAAATTAGATATTAGTCCCATGCTCCTTGAATTTGTCACCTGCTCATGAAGCAGGCCAAGAATATATTTGGATGAGAGGATATAGACTATCATAGGCTAATCCTTATTCAGAACAATGGTACCTGGAAAAATGTCAGAAAACAATTTCCCTTGGTTTTGTGTTTGTTGCACAATCAAAATGCAGCTGACGGGATCTTTTGAATTAGTGCTGACTGGTAGTAGCTTCTTCTGGGATCCTTCTGCCAGCTCCTGGACTGAGTGCTGTCCCATCTTTCAATTGCTGGAATGTCACCAACACAGTCAGAACCCTGGTGGTGCAGGGCACAGCAGCAAGGCCCACGGGGAGGGAATGCCCAGCTTGGGCAGAGCCAAGCAAGGGTGACTGTAGCAACCTTGTTACCCCAACTCAGCTTAACTGTTCCTCTGTGACTCTTATTGGTATCACTTTGGGCCACTTATCTGCCTGGCACAAGTCAAAACTACCTATTAATGTCCAAGGGCCAGACTTGCTGCAGAGTCCAAAGTTTATATTGATAAGGCTGCCGCAAAATAAATTTAGTTCTTCTGTAACAGCCATGTTACATTCTGGCTCTGATTATCAAAGGTAGACCTTAAATTGCCTTCCCTTCCATGCCACTCTTGTCCTAGCTTTCCAACTACACCCTCCCACACTCTGTATCCAGCCTCCCTACGCTGCCTGAAGATAGTGGTGTTTCTCGGTTTATGACTGTATTAATGATAGAGCTAAGCTGGCTGTTAGTTATGATGCTTCACTCCACATGGATTAGTAGTAACATAACTATGACACAACTTAGAATTTATTGTAATTCAATGGTATTTATTAAACACAGCCCTGGCCTAGGACTGACTAAACACTAAATACTATATCTGCATTTTTCTATTAAGATTGTACTGGCCAGGCACAGTGGCTTCCATCTGTAATCCCAGCACTTTGGGAGGCCGAGGGGGGTGGATCACAAGATCAGGAGATCAAGACCATCGTGACTAACATGGTGAAACCCCGTCTCTACTAAAAATACAAAAAATTAACTGGGCGTGGTGACACATGCCTGTAGTCCCAGCTGCTTGGGAGGCTGAGGCAGGAGAATCACTTGAACTCGGGAGGCGGAGGTTGCAATGAGCCAAGATTGTGCAACTGCACTCCAGCCTGGGCAACAGAGCGAGACTCCATCTCAAAAAAAAAAAAAAAGGTTGCTCTAAGTACATTTTCTTCTAGGCTGATTTCTAAAACATTCCATGAAGATATATGATTTTTGTTAACTTTAGGAACTTTTATAAAACTATAATATAATGACTTTTTTGGACTAAATTATATGTCAGTTTTGATCATTTGTATTATTAATGTTTCATTATTTGCTTTGAATAAAATTGTCTTACTATTCATTCTCCCTTCAACTCTAGGTATGGAACAGGATGTTTCTTACTATGTAATACAGGCCATAAGGTTGGTTCTTTAAATTAAAAAATTGATAAAAGTCTTTAAGTTCATATAAATAATGCTTGAACATAATTTGCTATTAAATTACTTTTAGTCTTTAGCTTTTACTTAATCTTTATCAGGGTTTAATTTAGAGCTCAATACAAAATTTGAATGGTTCTAATAAGAACCATTTTAGGCTTTTTGAATTTTATATGTGTGTTTTTAATTGTGTTGGTGGGAAATCTAGACTGAGACCTCATCAAATTCTTAATGCAAATCTAATTTGAAACAAGGAATAAACTTTTTATACAGCTGAAATGTGTTCTTAATTCTGATCATTTTGACTATATTTATTTTTAAAAATTGGTTTATTGATTGCATTATTTTGTATCTATGTTATTATAACTTTAAAAAAAATGTTCTCATGTTATCTTTTCATTTTCCACTACTGAAATCTTTTTTTTTTTTTTTTTTCTTTCCTACAGTGTGTATTTTCTGATCATGGCCTTCTTACCACAGTGGCTTACAAACTTGGCAGAGACAAACCAGTATATTATGCTTTGGAAGTAAGTTCTTTTTAATCAATATGGATAATATGACAAACATTCAAAGCTAATAAAAATTACAGTGTTTTCTAACACTTTTCTGGTAAATCTTAATACAGAGGACTCAAAAAGTTCTGCTTTCTTGGCATTTGATTGAGTTGAAGGAACCTGAGACTGACCTGGGAGTCAGGACTCACAGGAGACCTTGATTAGATTGGTTCCTCAGTTCTTAGGCCAATTAATTGTGTCACCTTAGGCATATTACTTGACAGCTCTACAATGTAAGGTTTTTTTTTTTTCAATCTCTAAAGTTTAATTGGATTAACGTGCTAACATTTCTTTCATCTTGAAAATTCTTTGTTTTTATAAATAAAATGCTCCAGTGTTCCAAAGAGAACCCTGGGCACAAAAAAGCAGAATAACTCTTTTCACTTGTCTCCTCATAAAAATAAATTTTGTGTAACATTTTGATATAGAAAAGAAAGTGAGGAGATTTATGCCACTTATCACTGGAAACATTTGTTTCAAACATGTTTGTATGTTATAGTAGGAATATGCCAGCCTAAGCCTGTAGGATATGGTAAGTTTGTGTTAGAAACGTTTATTTATAAAGTCAAAGAAATAGTATTCTTTTTGTAAAATTAGATACATTTCTTATAAGCATTTCTATATAATTAATTTTGAAATGGCTACCTTATAATGCACAAGTATACACGTGATCTGCAAACTTATTGAGGCTCATTTTTTGGAGTGTCTGATAATAATTTGGTCACAAGTTAAAGACTTCTAGTTAGAGTTAAAACATTTTATTAGTCATTATGCCTAGCACATGAAGAATATTAGTTTATTTCTATTATTCTCCCTTCCCCAACCCATAAACACTATGATATCTACCCCCAGCTCCTTTTCTATGGATGGAAGCATTTGTGAAAACTTAGTCTGTATATTAAAGATATCTTAACACTTCTCAGAACTTAAAATCCTACAAGCCCTCTCCCTTTCTACTTTCCATCTGTGGAGAGTGCATAGCACAACAATAGGCACATAGAATATGCACTTGATAAGTGTTACCTATAATATGATAAGAAGAATGTGATTCTGCCTTTTTTCTTCTTGCATAGGAGACAATTAGTGCTTTAGAATTACAGGTGCCTTAGACCTGGGACAGGCCTCAGGGACAGGGGTCACCGGATCTTAACTCCCCTCCCAATATGAAAAGCCTTCTCCTGTCTCCTTTACCAGTCCTTTACCAGTAGCCATCCAGCTTCTATCTGAAGACAGCACCCAAAGTTGCTTCTTAATAACACCTCTAGCATTGGACCTGCATTGGTTGTCAAAAGCGTTCCAACATTAGAGGCTGCAGTCAGTTTCTCTGGGTCTTCCTCCTGCAGGATAAACTGACCCAATGCCTTGATCTCACATGGTTTATGGATGCTTTATAGTTCTGAGCTCCCTTCATTGGGTACATTGCAATTCATGTCATCCAGAATGGAATATAATATTCTACATCTAATCTGACCTGTACTCAATCAATAGGGTGATTTGTGCCTCTCCTACCATAAGCACTACTTTTGCTTTTCTAGCCTGAGAGTTCATTAATTTAGACTAATAACCCCTTCATATTATTGGCCCTGGGAGCATATGCTAAAAAACCTAGCTTGTTTTCAAATGAATCATTGTCAAACCAAGGCTGCTTCGTTCTGTATTTGTGTAGTTTTTTTGTTAAATCTAAATTCAGGTCTTTGTTTCTTCCTGTTTAATTTCATAATAGTGATTTTAGCCTATTCCTATATAGTCTGAATTCGTTTTCATTCTTTACTGTTACTCTTTCAGTTTTGTCTCATCTAGAGATTTAACAGGCGTATGCTTTATGATTTTGTTTCAATTTATGTAATGCTTTTAGATGCTTAGAATTGTAAAAGCTGACAGAGACACTAGATCATATGACAATATACTTAGTTACACCCTCCTATCCCCATGTTTTACACATGAGGAAACTGAGATTAGAAAAGTGAAATTGGAGTCCCTTGGCCAAGTAACTTTTGACAACAGTAAGTAGCAGATCCAGGATGCACATCCAGATGCTTGGACATCAAAACCTTGATGCCTAGGCCACCCTGCTGTACCATTTCCTTCCTTGTAAGTCTGGAAGTTCTGGGCTCCAGTCTACCAAGCCCAGTATTGTCCCTACATCTAGCTTATGTCCCTTCCTTCATCTGCTAACCTAGCAGTCTCAGCAACAACAACAGCACACATACGCATACTAATGTTAAAGGTGTAGTTAGAATTTTTTTCTTTATGTTTTCTTACCTTTTTTTTTTTTTTTTTTTACAATTAACAAACATTTAAAAAAATTAAATTAAACCAAACCAAAAAACAAGGGTGGGGAATAATGCTAGATTGGTAAGACTTTTTATCAGTAAACTCATGCTAATTTCACTTGGTCATACTAATTCCTTTTTTTGTAAATGCTTACGAAGTATATATTTAATAATATTGTCTTTCATTTGATCGACTGTTGTTAGGCTTAGAAGTTGGAGATAGGAACATTTTAGTCTTTATGCTCTTTAAAACCTGAGACTATAGCTACCCATCTTCAGTCTTTTAGTCTTTTTTCATTCTTCCTCTGCTGATTTGGGAGGAATAAGAAGCATTTCTATGTTTTTATTTTGGTGATTTTTTTTTTCTTTTGTGTATACCCTTAGATTTTTAAGACATTGTTTAACCATATGTTTTTCTAAGCGTGTATGTCATTGTTTGATATTTTTAATCTCCCAACCATGATGAGGACCTCTAATATTTTATTCCACCTCCTTCATCACCAATCGTGTTATTTTGTTTAAAGCTTTCATTTCCCCCACTTTGTTCAACATGCAATAATTACTATTGTTTACTTTGCAGTCCACAATAAATCATATTTATTGACTTATTTTTCTTAGTTTTCTGTGTCCAGTATCATTTCTTTCATCTCATACCTTTTTTATTCCCACCTACTTTTTTTTTCTTCTTTTTTTTTGCTGAGGGGCATCCTTCTATATTTCTTTTAGTAATAGTGTGGGATAGTAAGCCTATTCTTTTTAGGTTTGTCTTTATTTTGCCCTCACTCTGAGGATTAGTATAAAAGCCTATATTAATTGTTTTTCCCACATCCCTTCTGGCCATTTTCGATGCTGATGAGACCTCTGCTGTTAATATGTGGTTCATTTGTAGATAATCTGGTTTATTGTCTGGGAGTTTCTAACATTATCTCTTTATCGTTGATGTTCTATAGTTTTACTATGATATGCCTGGGTTTGGATTTATTTTTATTTATCCTGTTAGGTACTTGGATCCAAGTCTGTCTTCAGATCTGGAAAGTTCTCAGCAATTATCTCTTCAAATATTGCTCCTCTACCATTACCTCCATCCTCTTCTGGAATTGCTATTGGATGAATATTGGAACCTTTCAACCCATCATCCATGTCTCTTAACTGCCCTTTTATATTTTTTTAATCTCTTTGTTTCTCTGTGCTGCGTCCCTGGTGAGTTTCTCAGTATCTACCTTCCATTTCCAAATTCTCTCTTTAAAACAAACAAGACAAAACATAAAAGCCTTTTTTGTATTGTGAAATATAAGACACATACAGAAAAATGCATTAAATATCAATGTACAACTCGAAAAATTACTATAAAGTCTCATGTAACTTGTTCCTAGAACGCTGCCAATCCCAAGAACCTCTATTTGCCCCCGATCACAACTTCCTCCCTCTCCCTGAGATAAACATCAGCCTGACTTTTATCATAATCACTTCCTTGCTTTTCTTTGTAGTTCTAACACTTAAATGTGCAGCCCTGAACACCAGAGTTTAGTTTTGCATGTGTTTAATATTTGATATATTAAAAATATAAAAGAGGAGAGAGAGAGCATGTGCATGCATATCTTAGTCACTTAGTATATATTTTTTTTGTATTTTTTGATCTGGCTTCTTTCAGTCAACATTATGTTTGTGAGATTCATCCACAGTATTATACATAGCTGTTTTTTTCATTCCTTCTTATTGCCATATGAAATTATTGAAGTTCAGTATTTATTCAGCTATTGATGATATTCGAGTGGTTTTCAGTATTTGGCTATTATGAAAAATGCTGCTATGAACATTTTTGTATATGCCTCCTGATGTAAATATATTCACCTTTCTGTAGGAGTAGAATTTCTAGGCCATAGATTATGTGTGTCTTCACTTTGAGTAGATAATGCAAACCATTTTTCACAGTAGATGTGGCAAGTTACACTCCTACCAGCAATGTGGGGGAGTGCTAATTTACTCATCATCTCTATCTAGTCTAGAGTTTACCCCATCTATTACATTTTTCGTCTTATTTAATATTTTCATTTCTATAGTTTTTATTTGGTTATTTTTCACATCCACCTGATTTTGTTTCAGTTCTCTGTTTTTATTTTGATTCTTAATTTCATGTTTGTTTGTTTTTAAAATGGAACTCATTTCCTAATTTATCTCCGAATACTTAAAGCATATGTATTTTAAAATCTGTGTTAGGCCAGAATGAACTCTAGTCCAGCTATTAACTTTGTTGGATTTCTTTCTTTCTTTTTTTTTTTGAGACGGAGTCTCTCGCTCTGTCGCCCAGGCCGGAATGCAGTGGCCCCATCTCGGTTCACTGCAAGCTCCGCCTCCCGGGTTCATGCCATTCTCCTCCCTCAGCTGGGACTACACGCACCCGCCACCACACCCGGCTAATTTTTTGTATTTTTAGTAGAAATGGGGTTTCGCCGTGTTAGCTAGGATGGTCTCGACCTCATGACCTCGTGATCCGCCCGCCTCGGCCTCCCAAAGTGCTGGGATTACAGGCGTGAGCCACCGCGCCCGGCCTTGTTGGATTTCTTAATACAAGAGTTCTTCATATAATTTAGAATTGTCACTTCCAGCCTTGTCTTCCATTAAGCCATATAGCCTCAGTCAGCAAATACACACTTGCTTATTTTTCTTACATTCCTACACAAGTAAGAGAGCGCCACCTAG